GACAGTAAGTCTGGAAAACTGCTAACCCCAATTTTTCCCAGCAGAATATTGTCTAAAATTGACTTACTACCCAAATCCAAAATGAAATATTTTTTCCAATTACTATATGTAATTAAGCACATCCAGTTATTTTAACTTTTTGTACACATGTTAACAACATTTTGTCTGATGATGATGAACATTCACCTTTGTTTTTAATTAGCCCCAGTGAAACTGACCTTAGTTTGTGAAGTTGATGTATATATTGTCAAGAGTGTCCCTGAACATCATCTCCCAGGATGAAGAAAGAACGCAGAGGGAGGGGCAAAACCACTCTTTCCTCTGAATCTGTCAAGTTCCATTTTAGATTGTATCCAAGGCTGTGCTTTATTTGCAAAGGCCATGGAAAATTAGTGGAGGAATGAGACTTAAAAAATCTTCCACAATTTCTAAAGAAACGTCATTCTTTTCTTGAGTCGTCACTGAAATACTGCTGAAAACCACTGAGCAAGGTTAGTACATGCCTTTCTGAAAATGACTTTTTTCATGGAACAAAAACTTAATGTTTCTAATGAAATAGAAACTTTCTAAAAAGAAATCTATATCCTAATGAGGTATGTATATTTTTAATAAATTGATTCAACATTGAACTGCTAAGTAGTATAACATAAATATTGTTGTTAATTTTTCTTTCATACATATCTTTCATAAATACCATTTTTAATTTGTTCACCCATTAGGCCAACCATTTTATTGGATTTAAGTGATTAATAATTTGTTGCACTAATCAGTCTATGGAAATATTTAATAAGTTTATCCTAATGCTTTTTTCAGAGAAAACATTTTTCCCTTAGAAAGTCCAAGTTAGTTTCTTTTCAGAAATGTTTTCTGTAATTTTCCTGTGCTCTAGACTGCCTAATTTTTTTAAAACTACATCAGACATAGTACTATATTCCTATTTTCCCCAAATTCCATTCCTAGCCTAACCTGAATATCATGAAGACAAAGTAATTTTATACTCTGTGGATTAGAGGTTGTGGTAAACTGCAGAAAACCCCCCATGGGGTAAATGATCAGATTTGAGAATTCAGTTTCTTCTCTAACAGAAGCAGTGAAAGCTGAACCCTAAATAACTGAAGTGGGGGATACAAACGACGTAATATCACATCAAAAGGGCTATGATGTTCTTGTAAATGGTGCTATGAAGGGCCCCTTCAAGTGTTCTATCAAAGGCAGGGTCTGGGGGTCCAAGCTGGGCTAGGTTAAGAGAAAAGGCTCTCAGACAAAGCTAAGTTTGATTATTGTCTCTAAAACTGACTACATGGCCTGGGACAAGTTTCTTCACCTCTTGAAGGCTTGGTTTCCTCACCTGTATGTTATTTACTTCATTAGATTGTTGGGAAAATGGAATAAGATAATTCATATGAAGAACGAAGCTTGAAAACTGGGTAGAAGACTCAATAAATGGTCTTGCTGTCGCTGTTGCTGCTGCCCTTTGCTCCTCCTCGTTTACAAATGATTCGGGGAACTTACAGCTTCAGTTACACCTGGCAGACTTCTTCCTCCGCCCCTGCTCTTTGCCTGTGCACTTCTCCCTCTCTCAATGGTTAGGGTGTTCTTAATTTTAAAAATTTTTTCCCAGCTATTTGCAGTAAAATATTTCCTTAACCCCTTCCTTAAAATACTTCCTTAAAACCAGCCTGGAAATGAAGAAGGTTGATTCTGCTGTTTTGAAGCGGGAGTTGGGAATTGCATAGTGGTACTAATTACATCTGCAGCTCAGCCCTCAGTTTACAAATAAAGAAATTCAGAGTGTAAGTTTAATAAGATTTGGAAATACTTAACAAGGAACTAGAAAACTGAATAGTTATGTAGCATATTGGTAACTGTTACAGGGTTAAAATGAACTTTGCCATTCAGTTGCTTCCTGGAAATAAAACCACTCAAATAAAACCTAAAAAAAAAAAAAAAAAAAAAAAAAGACACACCTGTCTCAAATTACTATAATGAAGGACTATACATTTCCTCATGCTTTTCCTTCACATGTACATATTACTTTCAAATATTTTTTTTCAAATAGTTATCTCATATAGAGGGTGTGTACCATGCCAGGTTCTCAAGATACAAAGATAAATGCTACTATCCTTGAAGATGTTCACAGCCTCACAAACACAGTCACTGGCAAGCAGTAATTATATAGCGTACATGACAGAGGTCTGCTGTAAGCTAGCAGGGAGGCATTTTGTATTCATTTAAACTCCTGGTCCTTCCTTAAGTTTTGATAGGGCATGGATGAATACTCCTTATGGGGAAGGAGAGAGTGTATACCTTCTCAAGGGAAAGAGGTTGAAGTGGATGAATTGGTTTTGGATGGGTGGCAAGCAGCAGGACATTCCAGGCACAAGGAACAGGATAGAAAGGATATAGCTTGTGGAGGAGACGATCTAGCTTAGCTAGAGCTGAAGTGTAGAATGATGTCTGGTGGAAGTCGTGGAGAAAAGCTGGAAAAGTAGGTTGGGGCAAATTGTGAAGGGTCTGTACCCACTCCTCCCAAATGATTGCAATGCTGTACTGGTTCTGATGAATAACAGTAACTCTGAGATTCTTAGTGTGTTCTAGTTTTTCCTTCAGCTATTCCTTTTAGACTGAACGTTCCTAGTAGTGGTGAGGGGAATCATTTCTTCTTTTTAATGTCATCCCTGCAACAGTACCTGGTAAAGATGGTGCCTGTCTTTGCTATTTAGTTTCAGCTTTGCCAAGGTCAATGGTTGTCTCTGTCCCTGAGTTTCTACCTTTCAGATAATTTTTACTGGTCAAGGAATAGAAACAAAGGTATTGGAAAGCAGCAAGTGTGACACAGTCTATGTCCTGAACTTGAAGATCAAGTCAGTATCAGCTGCCATCTTCCTCTTGGAATAGACTGGTAAGGCCTTGGTCACAGCCCGGACGTCACATTTGTATTGCAAGCCTCTTCCGTGTTATGTGCCAGGGATGCAGCAGTGAAAAATCAGTGGGCTCCTGGAAAAGCTTAAATTTTGTTTTAAATACTAAAAAGCTCCTTTTAAGTATTAGTGAAGAGACAGTCAAGTTTCTTTGGTATCTAAATCTTGCTAAAAGAGAAAATTTTTTTGCATGATCGGTTTATATCATATTGTATTCTAGTGAAATGAAGCTAGTATTACATTGCAAGGTTGCTGCAAACCATAATAAATAGGAGTGAAAGTGGGTTTGTATCTTACTAGTTTCGAATCTGAGAGATTAAAGATTAGTCTGCTCTTTTCCCAAATACAACTTAGGGTTTTTTTGTTGTTTTTTGAGACAGAGTCTCATTCTGTCCCAGGATGTTGAGCAGTGGCCCGATCTCAGCTCACTGCAACTTCTGCCTCTGAGGTTCAAGCGATTCTCATGCCTTAACCTCCCGAGCCGCTGGGACTACAGAAGTGTGCCACCACACCCGGCTAATTTTTCTATTTTTAGTAGAGATGGTGTTTCATCATATTGGCCAGACTGGTCACGAACTCCTGGCCTCAAGTGATCCATCCGCCTCGGCCTCTCAAAGTGCTGGGATTACAGTCGTGAGCCACTGCGCCAGGCTACAAATTACTTTTAATAAAATGACCATGGCCAGGCTTACTTATTCTTCAATGCGGCTTGCTTGAAGCTCAAGAAAACATTTTAAAGAGCCTATAGAATCCCTGAATCCCTATCCGTAAGCAGTAGCATGTGGATTGCAAAAGAAGCCTTCTGGATTCTTCATAGCTTTATGGGTGTTGTCTGTTGTTGCTGTTTTAAGAAAGAGTGTACCCATTTTTAATTCTGCTCAATATATTGGTGGGAAGTTTAGAGATTGTTGTGCAAACCTAAGCTTAAGGCAGTAATACTCAAGGTTAGGACAGTACAGAAGGGGTGTATGTCCTGCTTTTTTTGGGGGGGGGCGCTCTATCACCCAGGCTGGAGTGCAGTGGCACGATCTCGCCTCACTGCAACCTCCGCCTCCGGGTTCAAAAGATTCTCCTGCCTCAGTCTCCCGGGTAGCTGCGATGACAGGCGTCCACCACCACGCCTGGCTAATTTTTTGTATTTTTAGTAGAGATAGGGGTTTCGCCATGTTGGCCATGCTGGTCTCGAACTCCTGACCTCAGGTGATTCGCCTGCCTCAGCCTCCCAAAGTGCTGGGATTACAGGTGTGACCCACTGCGCCCGGCCCAGTTTTTAAGAGCGTATTTAGTAGAGTTAGTTTCATTATACAAACCACAAAAAGCTGGGTAAAACCTTAAATGTCAGGCATCTGAAAAAACAGCGGATTTCATCTAAAGGCAACTCTGAATGGCGGGGAGAAGGAAGAGGCTGGCAAAATTCTCATTAAAAGAAAATGTGAGTTAAAGCTATGAACACAGGGCTGCGGATATCAGTAATTAGTGCAAGGCGTCTGCCTTTAACTCAGTCGTGCGGAGTACAGTGCAAGGTTGTGCCTAGAAACGGCACAGAAAAAGGGTTATCTAGGGGAGAGGCAGTGGATTTGGGAGCCGGAACGAAGCGAGCTGGGGGTGGGCGTGCGGAGTGGCAGCTACGCGAAAGGGAACCCGCTGGGGCTAGCGCGGAGGCCCAGAGTCCAGGCGGCGGAAAAGGGCCCAACTGGCTTCGTAGGGAGGCGACGGCCGAGACACATGGTCCGGCGCGAGCCAGGCGCCCAGCGGCGTGCAATTTTATTCTGCAAAAGGTGCACCCAGCGTCGGTCCCGGTAGAGTTGAACCCACCGCGAGAGGGGGCAGGAGCGGCGGGCCGAGCGGCCGCGGGCTCCTCCCCCGGCGCCTCCGCTATCTGGGTCAGGACGCGACGGCCGCGGCGCGGGACCTTAGGACCCGGGGACTCTGGGACTACTGTCCGCCCGCCACTGCCCGCCAGCAGGTCCTAGTCTCCGGTCTCCGACCGCTGAAAGTCCGGACCACTGAACACAGGTACGTGCGCAGTCTGGGAGGGGGCGGCTCAGCCGGTGGGGGCCGGACCGGGCCGGGACTTACGGAGGGAAGCGGAAGTACTTGCGGTGGGGACGACTGCACTTCCGGGTCGGTGTGTCCCTGCCGAAGCTTGAGTCCGCCAGTGAGGGCTGCTCTGCGTTCCCGGGGTGGAGCTGCGGACCATAGTGGCTACCCGGGTGTATCCCTCGCTGACCCTGCGCCACGGAAGCCCTAGCCCCGGAGGTCGCCGGGGTTTCCTCGCACGCTGCCCCTTGTGGGGTGCGTGGGGAACAGGCAGTTTGCTGCCTCGGCCCGGCTGGTCCCTGCAAACCCCAAAGAATTTCAGCAGAGACACTTGCTGGGCTGTCGCTTCGGCTCCTTGGATCTTAACCTTTCAGCCTTGCGCAAGCGTTTTGTTTTTGTGTGGGGTTTCTTTGCTCTCAGACTTGGTCTGTGCCTATTTCGCGCAAAAACGAAGGCCAGATTATCACTGCTGCCAACATTGGGGAATAAGCCAAACACCTGGGCGCCCTGAATTTAAAATAAATTATAAAATACAAAAAAAACCATGAAAACCTGATGAAATGAACAATAGAATTCACTTTGAAAGTACCAGGTTTTCCGGGACACTGTAGGAAATCTGATCACTAGTTCAAGTCTCAGTGCAATTCTCTTAGGAAACTTAAACCTTGGGCTTTTTTGTAATGTATCTTTATCCTTGCAAAATTTTTCATAACTTCCCCGAGTTTATTAGTTATGCATTTTATAAGGGTCTGCTGATGAAGTAAATGAATGTATATGCTAGATTTATGGTGAAAGCATTATAATTAATTTAGTAAATCATAATTTCTACATCTGAAAGTTAAAACTAGAACATGGAAATGAAATGTTTCTTCAGACATTTCTTCGGAAAACATTTCATACTCTCGAGTCAACATTTTGATGCCATTTTAGAATACTTGATTCTCATCTCTGTTAACCTTTAATTAATTTTACACATTAAGTGCCATAGTCTATATTAAAATGTCATTTTCCATTGTTATTTACTAGCACCTTACAAATTGCAGTGTAGCATAATATTTTGCATCTGATTACTAAAATATTAGAGTTCTAAAATCCGTTTGGTACAAAGTTTTTAGTTACTATATTTTTATACTACAAGTGCATACTATTAACGTACAAATATGAAAGCTAACAAGGCTGGAGGCGGTGGTCCATGCTGCTTATCCCAGCACTTTGAGAGGTGCAGGCAGGATTGCTTGGGCCCAG